ATGGGAAAATAAACACTAAATGAAAGTCCTGATGATATGTCAGTAGTGTCATCTTCATAATAACTGAACTTCTACATACATATTACAGAAACATACCTCTTAATAAGTCTATTTTAAATTCTTCAGTGTGCTTCCCAGAACTGATCCAAACAAGACAATGAAAATGCTACATCCAGATCAGCTCTACAGTAAGTGAAACCAAGATATAGTTCAGTGGACATACTATATCTACCTTATAGTATTTTTCTCTGTTCATTTCCACCCTTTAAAGCTACTCATTCATATGGTACTTTTTCTACTGATACAGATGCCATTTTATAGCATAGTAATGTAGCTATAATAGCATTTCAGAGAGTGCCATTTATCTCAGAGTTAACTCCACATGGTCTACAATTATGACTATCATTATAACCCATTAAAACAAAACTAGTCATGATGCAGGAAGGTTCAATTGACTACATGTTTCTCACAGTCAGTAAGTTGGGGGTCTCAAATACATTTCAGCAGCTGCTGGGTAAGTGGTAAATAATAATTAATTCAGCAAAGGCAACATTCATTTGGTAGTATAATCACTCTGATTCTCCATGTCTGGGTCTGAACATACTACAATGTACACAAAAGAACAGCAGAGGAGAGAAAATTTTCCATTTATACCCATCTCCACATTCCCTGCTGGAGAATTTCTATGGTTGCTGACTAAGGCAGGATCCTATGCAAGACATTATGTGTGTAGGGGCTATACTTGCACACTTGGAAATATGCTTAGGAACATATTCTATAAGTTCAGCCATGCCTAGATTCTGCACTTTCAAAGAACATCATGGGAGCCCTTGCTAGCTCCCTACTTGGTAGCTGCCATTTGAGTTGCCAAAATGCCAATCTATTGCCAAATGCATAACTGAAACATCCACCATTAGATTTACTTCTTAGGGACTTGTAAGAGTAATATAAATTTTAATAGAACTTAAATATTCTGTTTGATAATTATGACTTATAGTGATACATCAGAAGAATATTAATATTTAAAATATGGATATTCATTTTAGGTCAAAATTTGGGGTCATTAAATAAGCTCTGCAATTTCCATAGGCAATCTTGGTTGATTTCCTCCTTCTATTTAAATCTGGATAGAATCCATGGTCCATCTGCGGTATCTTCCCAAGGCATATACATAGATGATGAGTTATGAGTTGCCTAACCAACTCTATATCATACTTTAGAAAATAGGAATACTTTGTCCACTTGGTTCTTTCTGAGTGGATAGTTATGCCAAACTTTTTTTCAAATGGTTATGCATCTCATCCTGCAAGAACTATAGCATTCCACAATTTAATGCAGCCAGTATAATAGTATCCACAAGTAGGAGCATCTGGAAAATCTCATGATCTAGGTGAAATCCCTTCCTTTTTAACTTGGACTCTCTGCTGGCTGTCTCCCATGAAAGTAGTAAATACCTTTGGTAATCATATCTTCCTGTTTTATGGCTTGCCTGATAATAACAAAGAAGGTATACACAAAGAAGTTTATCCCTGTGGCTACATTTTTCAAGAAATCTCACATAATTTTGATGTATGTTTAAACATTTAAATTGATTATTATATCAAAGGCAATGGAGTGTTAGTAGGCTTCATCACATAATACTATAAATAATGAACTATGTGGAAGAATGAAAGTAAAGAATCCTATCAAAGAAATAGATAATTAAAAAAAAAGAAGGTGAGCTTATTATGTGGTGAGAGCAAGGGACAGCTTTGGGTGGTCTGTATGATCCACTGAATCTTTATGATAACAGGAGAAAGTGATGAAGGCCCCTAGAGTGTTGGGTGGACTCCCTTTAGTGAACTTATGGGGATTCAACAAGCATGAATGGCTTTTGATCAGTATCTCTGGAGAGAACATCCATAGTAATGAGATCACAGAGACATTTAAGAATTAAGTATTAAGACAGTATGTTATTATTGTATGTTGCTCAACATGTGAGGTGCTTTCCCCTAAAGCATTAGGGTAGAGGGTACATCGGAGAGGATACTGAAAGGAGAACAGGATGTGCTAAAGGAAAAATAAGTTAGCTACTTCATAATATGTCTAGACAGAAGTACTTTTCCGAAAGTTGGCTATACCTAATACCTCTAATTCTTTAATATACACTCTTTCCTTATTCTTTTGGATAAGGCTTTTAACTCCACCACTCTACTGAAAACATTCCTTCAAAGGTCTCCAATGATCTCCTAATTGCCAAGTTCAAGAAAACACTGAGAATGCTTCCAAAGTTATGAAGCTGAGTGACTAGGGAAGGTTCAACTGAGAGACAGAAGTTGAAGGAAGGGAAGGAAGATGATGATGAACTCAGTTTTGAACATATTAAGTTTGAGGTAAACACAGGACATTCAGGTGGAGCTGTCCAGCAGATTTTTAAGTGGTCAGCTAGGAGTTCCTGAGAGAGTTTAGCTGTGTAAATACAGACTTGGACAAAGTCCTAGGTTTCTTTGTTTCATCATGGTCTACAAGTGACCATGGTCATGCAAGCAAAGCATAAACTCTGGCAGGCTCTACTAGTTTGGAAAAGCTACAGAATAGTTCTAGCAACAGCCTATGTCTGCTTTCCAGGGATGAACCTGGCTAAGTCTGGAGAACCATGATGATGATAATATAATTGTTATTTATAATAGCAGTTACTATATGCCAGAATTGTGCTAGGTGCTTTCCAAATATCTCATTTAATCCTCACAACAACCCTGTGAGATAAGTGCTATTATGATCATCCTCATTTTACAGATGAGGAAACTGAGGCAGACAGAGGTTAAGTGATTTGCCCAGGATCACAGAGCTATTAAGGACCTGAGGCTTGATTTTACATTTCTGACTCCTGGAGACCAGTACTGGAAAGATGACCACTTAGTGATGAATTCTTTGGCCACTATAACACCCTAAACAAAGAAAATTGCACAATGACTCATAGTTCCATAAGTCTCCTTCAACTTCTCTAGCAACAGTAGCTGAGTGATGGAAAAAGAAGTTACTAAGAATTACACAGTTTTTAGACTAAATATTAACAGAGTTGTTGGAACTGAAAATATGAGATCCTTAGGACCATAAACTTAGAGCTATAAGGGAACCCAACCTACTCATCTTATAGCTTAATAAACTTTGGCTTAGAGAAGTTTAATGACTTGCCTAGGGTCAGACAAATGAATGAGGCAGGATTTTAACTTGACTCCAAGTTCAGTGGTTTATCCAACATATTGAACTGCCTTTTGACCAATGAGTATACACTCTATTGAAGGAACTGAGTTGTGCCAATCTTGATGTTCTCAATATAAAAGAGAAGACAAAAATAAATCACAGCTAAATGCAAAGATGGTTTGAGAGAAAAAAGGCCAAAAAATGTAGTTGGCATAGTTGGTTTCATTGTGCATCCAAAGGTAACAAGAAACATCATTCCTGGGACATTTGGTCATCTTGTATTGTAGTACTCATAAAAAAAAAATTTGCAAAAAGCCCCCAGCATTACTAATGATAATAACAGCTGGTATTTATATAGCACTTTAATGTTTGCAAAAAGCTTTGCAAGACATTGTCTAATGCCCTTGTTGTGCTGCATGAGGAAAAAGAAAGAGTGTTAAGAAAGAAGAAGATGAGGAAAACAGAGAGACTAGACAAAGAAAATACAGAGGTCTGTAATGGATACAGCACGATTTAGAAACTGTAAAGAGATTTTTTCTCAAGATATATGGAATTGGAGAATGACAAACACCGGGAAAATATCAGAAACGATTACACCCTTTAATGAGTTATTAAGAAAATATCAATCACTGCAAGTTATTGCCCATTTTCTTTTCTCTGAAAAAATCCTTATTAGATTAAGCTGCCCATATATTGAATATCCTTGATGAATGAAAAAAGTACAATAAGCATGATATATAAAAGGCAATTGGATTCACATCTACCTTTCAGAATCCTTGTTTTTCTTCAAAGCTTAGCTTATTTGCCACCTCCTCCATAAAGCCTTCCCTAATCTTCACCTGTTGTTAGTGTTCTCCCTTTCATTTTCCTTGTAATATATCTATTTGTATATATTTTGTATCCCTCTAGAAGAATATGAGCTCCTTGAGGACACGGATTATTTTAATTTTGTCTTTGTCTTTCCACCACCTGCTATAGTATCTTTCACAGAATATATATTTAATGAATGTTTGTTGACATGAATTTAATTGGAGAGATGGTCCATAGACCTGCTTCCATTAGAGTATGTATCTTGGAAAGGCAATGAAGATAGGCAACAAACTTGGCCCATTTCAGAAGATGTATATTGCTTCTAATGACTCCAAGCTTATTACTGATACAAGGGACCATCTTTTTAACATCAGAATTCTTCCCATGTTGCTACATGATGACAGGCAATGAAATACACACTCTCTGAAGTATTCAAATTGTGGGTAACCCAAAGCGCAAGGACAAATACATGGTGAGAGTAAGTAAACTATAGCATATTACTAAAGATGAATTATACAAGAAAGACAGTATAAACAATATCTTCAGAGAGAACTACAACTAGAAAAGGAAGAAAATTCATCACATAGAAAGAATAAGGGATAACTAATTGACAATCTGTGTGTCCCACTGGTATCCATGTAATAGCAAAAGGTTTAGATGAAGTCCACAGCATGTTAGTATGGATTCTTTATAGAGGATATGATTGAAAGAAGCACAGAATGAAACACCGTGAATATGTTGTAATCTAAACCATTACAGGGAATAGTTACAATGATGAGATCACAGATCAATTAAAGTATTAAAACATGGAAATTTTGAAGTTACCTACATAAAGATGATCTCAACTTTATATTGCCTTCAAGGCCTAGCATTATAACGCACATAGTAGTCTGTTAATAAATGATGTTTTTATGTTTCCCATGGAGTATTTCCCTCCTCAGGTTCACCATCATTAGTCTATTAGGTGTTGGGAAAGTGCTTGAAAAAGTGACTGAGTCAACAGGTACCTGTAATCCAGAGATTGCAGTGGGGTACGGTGAAAGTGCTGTGGAGCCCAAATTTCTTCCAAGTAGAGGTGTCATAGGGGTGCTACTTGTTGTGTGTGTAGCACGCCAGTATGCCTCAAGGTATTCTGCCAAATGTTCACATGCATCCTCAAGCTGATTTTCATCCAGGATAACATCAAACATTTCCTGTTCACAACACGAAGAATCCATGTTAGTTACCTTTTAGTTGGTAAGCAGTAAAACCCTTAGATTCCAGTGAATATTGATAACAACATATTGATGCTTATTTTAGCTATCTTTCTACACAAATTTCTCTATTAGAATTGAGTGATGTATTGTCAGGTCTACACAAAGTTAAGTGGCTGTCTGTAGAATTATTCAGTGAATATGGGAAAAAGCAAATCTAGATATTTAGAAGAAAGTGGATTTTTCTGTCTGAAGTATCGGGATAACCTTTTATTTTGCTTGCATGCCATCTCAGGTTAAAAAGAATTGCAACAACAATGCATGGTTTTAGGTGTCAGTGGTAGTGAGGACAATGAACATTTAATTAAAAGGTATAATACTCCATGAAAGAACTTCTTACCTATATGAATGATGGTTCAGGCTGTGTTACTTTTCAATGCAAAGCTTTGATTCAAGGACATCCAATGTTCATAACATTTTTAACTCTCTATATGAAACTACATCTAGCTTCCAGGTACTCAGCATTCTTAACTATTTCAATATAGTAACATAGAAATTAAACAGAGAGTATATGTTTCTAAATAGAACAATGGTTCTAAAAATAATGTTAATAATTTAAAGTTTATAAGGTACCTGACAAACTATCTCATGTTGTCCTCACCACAGCCCTGTAGATAGGTGATACAAGCGTTATTTCCCCACTTTACAAATAAGCAAACTGAGATTTAGAGATAAAGTGATTTAGTTACTGTCACTTAGCTAATAAGCAGCAGAGTCACATTCAAATCAAGATCTCCTGACTCGAAGTCCAATGTTCTTTTCACTACATTATACTGTCTCCCAGAAGTCAAACTTGGGTTAGCATTGATAAGCATGTAAAAATTATCCTTATCACAGGTGATGGTGAAAGTGCATTTCCTGTGTAATAAAAAATACCTATCATTTATATAGCACTTGAAATTTTGCAAAGTGCTTTCCACTTGTTATTTGATCTGATTCTTCTAACAACCTTGTAAGGAAGGAACTATTATTATCTTCATTTTATAGTGGAGGATGCTGAGGCTTAGACATATTAAGTGGCCCAGGGTCACAGAGCTAAGTGTCTGAAATAGTATTCGAACTCAGGGGCCTTCCTGACTCCAAATCCAACACTCTATCCATTGTGCCACCCAGCTAAGTTTCATATTCTTTAGAAGACACTTAAGGTCAATCTACAGTTGAAGGCGATGTAAGCAGAATAGAGGTAATTTGTATATTTTCACAACATGTTTGTCCTATAGAGCTGAAATTAATGTTCTTTCAAATAGAAGAGAAAAATATGGGAGGAGCAAGCCTATTTACATTATTAGTTACAGGAAGTCTATATATCACAAGGGCTGGAAGGTTTTTGTTTTTCATTTTGTTTTGTTTTGTTTTTTGGCAAAACTTAAATGTACCTTGCTAAAACAGAGTCTTTTTAGCTGATGACACAGCAGATGCATTTGAAGAGTATGGTCAATTTTATTTAAATGACCATAGCCGTATTGTCTACTACCAGCAAAGATGCCAGGGAATTGAGTTGTTGCCCTGGTGAATAATTAACTGCCTTCTCAGAATTCCCTTATCTGTCCCAGAAATTGGTAGATGTCTTTTTTCCCATCACGATGCCCTCCAATTGTGCCCTTGATCTTAATCCATCTTACTTCTGCCAAGGTCTTGCTCCATCAATTCTTCCTTCTATTCTTCATCTAACCTTTCTTCCTCTCTATTGGCTCCTTTCCCTTGATTTACAAATATGCTCAGGTCTCCTCAGTCCTAAAACAAAACAAAAAAACCCAAACAAAAACCGCATACCTTCTTCAGGTCCTTTTATCCCCTTGAGCATTCTTCCCATCCAGTGTCAGATTTCTTGAATCTCACTTGACTCATTGTCCCCAATTCCTTAACACCCACTCATTCCTCATCTCCATACCTGGCACATAGGAGGTGCTTAATAAATGCTTGTTTCCTTCCTTCCTTCCTTCTCACAACACCCTACGGAAATTGTTCTCTCAAAGTCATCATAGACTTCACAATCGCCATTTCTAATAATCTTTTAAAAGTGCTCATTCTTAAGGAGAAAAAAAACCATGTTATTTACCTTTCTATTCACTGAGTGCTTAGCACAGCACTTTGCATGCAGCAGGTATTCAATGTGTTTGATGAACTGTATTCGATCTGCTTCACTTGCATTGGTGCTACAGTATGACTCTAAACTAATAAGTGTGATTTTTTAAAACATACACATCAAAATTTATACAACCAAGTGAGTGTTATCTTTTGGAGCAGTTAATATGGATGGATGTTCACCACTGGAATGATGCTTTGCATTATATAACACCACTGGAATAAGTGCATAGCTTTGCAAGGTGACTAATTTTAAGAGAATAACACTTGTCTTAGTTAAGGTGTTTTGTTTAGAAATTCTGGGTTAGAATGCACAACAAGAGGTAAGGATGAACACAGAGACTGGACTTGTGATTGCACTAGAATGTGGAACTCGAGTAAGGAAACTCCCTTTACCAATGCAGATTGAAACTGCTCTACAACTTCTGGTCTTAGAGAATTTCTTATATAATGGAAAGGTTAAGTGACTTGCCCAGGGCTACACAGCCAGTATGTATCAGAAGAAGGACCTGAGGGGCAGCTAGATGGCGCAGTGGATAGCGTACCGGCCCTGGATTCAGGAGGACCTGAGTTCAAATCCAGCCTCCGATACATAACACTTACTAGCTGTGTGACCCTGGGCAAGGCACTTAACTCCAAATTCCTAAAAAAAAAACAAAAACAAAGAAGAAGGACCTGAGCCTAGGTTAGCCAGGCTCTTTGTCATAGTGCCTCTCTATTCATTTAACCTCTGGCTATTTTCTCCAGTACTGGATGCTCCTTCCTAGTCCCCAAAGACCAGGGCTAATAGAAAGAATAAGCACAGTCTCCGTCTCTTACACTTGCTTCCAGATCATTCCTTTGCCACTCTAACTCAACAACCTCTCCATCTTTTAGGTTAACTCTTTCTATCTTTATCAGCCAGTGTAAGTCCTTATGTTTATCTCCTGGCCTATAGGTCATCCACCTTCCCTCTCAGAGTTCAGTACCTCACTCATAGTCTTCCTTCCCTCTCCATATGTTGCCTTCATATTTGGGGATTTCATTAAGTATGTCAGTGTTTCCTTGGACATTCTCATCTCCTAGATCATCAAGCTCCTAAACTCTATGACCTACATTTTCATTCAACTTCATCCATACAGCGGGATGGTCATACATGTCATCTCACTATTACCTATACTGTTCCACTTCCATGATTCAAAAATGAAACTTCCTATCTTTGGACACAACCTCTTATCTTTTGATTTCTCCCTTTGTTTCACTTCTCATATAACTATTCTTCATCCTAAAGATGACCTCCAGTTTCTCCACCCTTCCTGTTCTCTTAGTCAGTTACTCTTGCTCTGGCCTTACTTTCCTTTCTTCACAGTCTTGACTATATGGTTTGCCAGTTCAAACATAGAGTAACAACTATACTTGAATCCCTTTCTCCATTGTCCTATCATCAGTCATACTTTGCCAAACATTTATCTATTACCCCATCCATTCACTTTCTCCATTCCTACTCACATACTGCTAGATGTTACTAGATCGAGTCATGCAACTACGTCATCTGGATTCACTACCAATTTATGTGATTTAGTCTCAACTGAGGTCTGATGAAAATTCTTTTACTCCTTTCTGATTAACTCTCTACTATGCCTACCATGGTCTTTAATAAATGTTTATTGAATTGGATTGATTTCATATTGGTGTCAATTCTTGGAATGTTCCCCCACCCACACCATTAAAGATAGGCTCAATAGTGGTAGTTGCTATGAAGCTAGTTATTAGAACTTCAAATGTGCAGAACAAAATTTTATATCCTTTTCAAACTTTTGGGGAAAATATACAATGAAATATGTTGGCACTAAAAAGTCACTAAAACCCCCCCAAAAGTTTATAACAATGATATAAACAATGACAATATTCATGAGCACTTAAATCTTTGTCCATGAGATAGGCCGTGATATATATGTGTGTGTGTGTGTGTGTGTATACACACACACACATAAAATATGTATGTATGTATGTATGTACATATATATATATATATACACACATATATATGTATGGATGTGTGTATGTATATATATACATACATATATATTTGTAAATTTTCATTTTATAAATAGAGAAACTAAAGTTCAGAAGTAAGTGACTCACCCTGAGTCCCCTAGTTGGTAAATGTTAGGTTACAGGATCATAGCTGAAAGGCACCTCAGAAGCCATCTCCAGGACATGGCAGCTGGTTTTCTGACTCTGAGTTTACTGCTTTTAATTAAAACCAAATGAGAAACAACCCACTGAGTTATCCAAGCTAGCTTTTCCATCCTTCAAAAAAATATAATGATACAAACCTAGCCAGTGTAGCTACCCAAGTTAGCTCATGTCTGCTATAGCATGTGAGAGCCCACAGTAGGATTTGGATGGAGAAAGCAATCTCATCAACAACCAAAAAAAAAAAGTATGAATAATTCTGACAGTTCCAGGCAATTGAAGAGCAAACAGGCCAGAACAAAATAATATTCTTCCCTTTATTACAGCTAATCATAGAGGAATATTGGTGACTGAGATGCTCTCAAGGCACTTCCTCAATGAACAACATTGTCATTCTATTATGAGTTATATTCTGTAGTCGGCCTCTCTGTCACTTCTATTAATGGAATGGGAGCCACTAGTGCAGGCTATCAAAGGTGAACAGGCCCCATATGAATAACTGGAATACAGAGCAATCAAATCAAAATACGACAATTCTTCCTTTATGTAAGTGGACTGCTCTTCAGACCTCTGTGTAAAGTGATTTTACATAATGCGAATTTGCCCATCAACCAGGGTTAGGAAGGGAGAGAGACAAAAGGGGCTGGTAGACCAGTGGAAAGTGAGGGGCTGGCACA